TTTCTTTCTTACCTCACACGATCACCAGTCGCAAACGGAAGACATTGGCACGAGCTCGCTCTTGTCGATCGTCATGAGCTTACCTGAAGCATCGTCGCAGTCTCCAGATGAGATGGTCAATTTCACTCTTCTCAGTCCTGCAGCTGCCCCGATCCTAGCCCCGCGGTTGGGAAATTTGGCTGTTGCGGGCAGAAAAGCCATCCCGACGCCCAATTACATTCCGCTAACGTCGCGAGGGGCTGTACCTCATATTGCGCATGATGTGATGCGCGACCAGACGGCGATCGGCAGCCTGTTTATTGGTCTCGAGGATTGTAGGTTCATATCTGCATTGACGTGCATTCGACTCGTGACCATCAAGCAAGGAGAATAGACGCTGACGATGTTCGATGCCCACCGGGGCTCAGATCAGTCATAGAAAAGCAAGCAAATACAGGACCGCTCCGGAAGGGAAGTCCGCCGATATACAATGTACCAACTGCGCCGCATGAATCGGCCTTGCGCAAATTCATCAGTGTTCCTGAGGATTTCCTGCTCATTCTCGGTCCGCGACGGGTGCCTTCGATCGTCTGCCCCCCGAACAACACGCCTAATTCGATCTCCATATTGACGTCCGTCGGGTTCATGCAGCTAGAGGCTGGTGAATATGTGGAAGCAGCACGGAAGCTACGGCCGGACATCGTGGTGGGATTAGCAGACTTGGCCCAGGGACAAACTCCCGGCTCCAAGAGGAGATTAAAGATGGCTGACAGAACCCATGCATTCACTTCGCATGCGACGGAGCAGCTCTATGGTCAAACAGTACCGGAGGGAAGTCGGTCAAAATCAGCATACTTTGCGCCGGTGCTGCCTCTCGAGAACACGCAGCAATCGCTCTACCTGGCCGATCTTGAGCATGAGCTACGCCCTCGCATCTCCGGTCTCGCACTACACGAGTCGGCATCGCTATCGATTCTCCCGGAGAAACTAGGCAACCTGCCCCGACTACTCTTCAGTGATCCAGCGACGCCACACGACATCGTCCGTCAGGTATCTCTCGGCGCCGATATCTTCACCATTCCTTTCCTGGGGGCTACCTCGGACGCGGGAATAGCCTTGGATTTCACATTCCCAGCCCCATCCACAGCGGAGACGACTGCAAGCGAACCTCGACCTCTCGCATTTGACCTGTGGTCCTCGTCATTCAAAGTAGACACAGCACCTTTGAACGGTTCCTGCGAGTGCTACACCTGCAAAAACCACCACCGCGCATACATCCACCACCTACTATCCGCAAAGGAAATGCTCGCATGGACGTTACTCCAGATCCATAACCACCACACCATGGACAAGTTCTTCTCCGCTATTAGAGCTAGCATCGAGCGAGGAACCTTCGACGCAGACGCCGACATGTTTCACAGAGTTTATGCCCCAGAATTACCCGAGAAAACCGGCCAGGGCCCCAGGTGCGTATAATATAACTCTCGGATCTGCATATGACCAGCCATCTTCTTATCCTGATCAACTAACCCTTCCGCACTTACAGACTCCGCGGCCACCAACTCCCCGCTGCTGGACCTCATCAACCCCGACGCTTCCCTCGCGTGTATGGTCGTCTTGACGACGCGGCGGAGAAATTCGCAGAGTCGGAATCGTCGATTGCCACACCGGATACGGGCGCTGATGGACTAGAAGCACATGGCTTTGCGCAGAAAACCTCCTCTTAAAATATCCAGATATGGTGTGGTTTCTTTTAAAGAATGCCGAGCGGATGCGAGTCCGAGCAGTCATGATATAGTGTCCTGTCAAAGGGAGAGGTCCAAAAAGTAGCGTAATACAGGCAGGCTTCTGGCGCTGTGGCGTGGGTCTTGTTCTATCTTCAGAATCGAGGCATTTGTCATTCCAGGGCGGTGCTGAAAGCTGGTAGTAACGTCCTTCAATTGCCCACACGGTCGTCTAACTTGGATTCCCTTTGTGTATATTGCTTTACATGATCCAAGGAAAGCTCTAGACAACCTCAGCAATAAATTTATGTCATTAGATCAGGTTCACTTCGTCCCTTCTATATCATTCAATGTCAATCTCACACATAAGTACAAAAGAACTACATTTCTGATCCGGTAGTGGACAAGCAGAACATGATATGAACATGGCGAAAGTCTGCCCCAATTCCCTTGTCATGATGGAGCAGGCAACTTAGGTGCTTGTACACCTCACTGGCTGTTGATCAAGACATTCCACATCCACTTGGTCTCCTGCTGTTCTTCTTCCGACCCGCTTTCCGTGCCGGCTCCAAAGTCCTGCCCCACGACACACACCAGCCAAACGTCGTTCTTGACTTCGTCAAGGAAGCGCTCGGTCGGGGTGCCACGGGGATAGACCCGACGCCACTCATCCCAGATACGGTACGCCTCTTCACCCCAGGCCCTAAAGCTCACTTCTTCAATGATGGTCGGAGTGACTATCTCCTTGCCACGGAAGACACCCCACGTCACGGCGTTGACGTTGTTAGGATTCATCTCGATCGTATCGGCATGGGCAGGGTCGGCGGGAAGGGAGGACTCGAATTCGCCCTTCGCGTTGGTTGCAAACCATGCGAGCTTCTCGTGGCCGTGCTTTGCAAAGAGTGGTTTGAGCACTGTGTGGAAGTCTTTGCTAGGACAGAAGAATTCAACGAATGGCTTCTGAAAGACGAATCCCTCACCCGGAGGACCCCATCCAAAGGTTGGATCGTCGCTTCGGACGCCATTGACAGCCGGCTGGGACGCCAGGGTCCACCAGCCTTTACCATCAATGAGCTTCAGTAACTCGGGTCGGATGACTTCTGTCTCAGCATTCAAGCCACTGCTATTCTCTTCCGCCCCGCCTTCGGACCAGGGAACGATATAGAGATCGCCAGACACATGGCGACGGAATAGTGCACTTATGTCTTCGCGTGACACAGGATAGCCCCAGACGCGCCGCGCGACAGTGCCCGAAACGTGTAGTGAAGGACCGTACCCATCAATCTCTCCGAAAGCCGGCGAGCGAGCGTCACCCCAACGGCCGTTAGGGAAATCGTCCCACGTCGCTTCCCTGCCGAGCGCTCCCTGACCCTCCGAAATCTGGAGCGTTGTGTTGCGATCTGGGGGCATCGCAGGCATTCCAGCGCTAGTGGCGGGCGCCTCATGTGTAGTCGATGCTCTCGATGACCCGTCTGAGGGCACCTGTAATCTGTCGACAATGACACGGTTATGTGGCAGAGAGTTGACGGACGAAGCCCTTCGCCGGAATAGAGAACGATTCTGAGCTCCAGTGGGTGCGGTGGTGTAATCGTCGTCCGCAATAGCATCAAAGTCTTCTGGATCATCAGGTATCAAACCACATCGTTCAATGATGAAAGAGACTGTCTTTTCAAGATTCAATGTGTAAAAATGGAAGCCCCTAAACCCAGGGCAGGGTATCTTCCTGATAGCCTCCACTAAATCAGTTAGAACATCCACGCCGATGCGCTTCACAGCATCGTCATCATGTTTTACTGCTTCCAGTTTTGACATGATCTGTGGTGGAATCTGGACATGACTCAGTTTCGTTGTTCTTGTCAGAATCTTATAGCTGTGAATAGGCATCAACCCAGGAATGATTGGGATGGTTTTAAAAGCACCGGACTCGTGATCTCGTAGCATTTTCTCAAACTTTGTGTACGCTTCGATGTCGTATGTCAACTGAGTCATGATGAAGTCCGCACCGGCCAGGGTCTTCTCGACCAGATATGGCAGATCCCTCACTGGATCCTGTACGTCCTGATAAGAATCGACCGGGTGCCCCTCAGGGTACGCAGCAACGCCGAGGCAGAAGTAATCACCGTACTTCTTGCGAATGTATCGTACCAAGTCCACCGCGAACGTGAAGTCCCTGTTGCTATCATCTTCTCCGTGCATGTTGTACTCTTCACTGCGTGGCGGGTCGCCGCGAAGCGCTAGGATGTTTCGAATTCCGAGAACCTTGGCCTCCTCCAAGGCTTCATCGATCAACGCTCGGCTCATATTGGTGCATGTTAGATGAAGGCATGTTGTTAACTGCAATTGACGTTGGCAGATCTCTGCGAGCTCCAACGACCTGGCGGCAGTGCTTCCACCGGCCCCCCAAGTGACAGTAACGAACAAAGGACGCAGCGCTTGTGACATACGCTCTAAACGAGCCTGTAGATTGGAGAAGCCCTACAATATTCGAAACACCATCAGTAACTGGTCGCATCGCCAGAAAAGTCAGAGTGCGGGGATAACCCCACCATCTGCGTCTTGGGAGGGAAGAACTCGAGAGAAAAGTAATTCTCGTTTGGCGGCAATGCCGCGATCTTGTCTGTGATCTTTTCCATCTTGACCCGAATTTCTCCTCTGTGGTGAGAAAAATAGCGGGAATAATTGAAGTTGATGGAGGAGGACCTGAGCCAGCGCATGCGGGAGGGAAGGACTTGGCCCCTCCGATCAACGGATACGGAAACATGCAGGATTGCCGACCCAGGACCAGTACAGTGAGAGGTTGCCTTCGTGGTTTGCAGCTCATTCTATCCAGAGAGATCATTGCAGGTGCTACGTTTGGGTTCATCAGATTGTTAATTACMTATCATTATTCTTCAATGTTTCGTTTCCGATAGATACGCAGCAAATAGTATGATACATCTACTGATCTTGTATACGGCTGTGCAGAGTGCAAACAAGGCAAACCTCACCAAGCTCCGTCTAAGTCGCAATACGAGTCTGATGGAGACAATGAGGGATCATCAATCAAGGACCGGTCTTGAAGTCTCTACTGGGGTCAGAAGTGGCATTGATCTCTCGCTACCATAATTTCTGAAGTTAGAACTGAAAGTCTGCCCAAGAGCCAGCGTTAATCCTTGTCTACTTCAGCTGAACTCGCAGTATCAACTTCAAGTCGGGTCTATCTCAGGCATCGACAGCTTGGGTGAGATGGCTTTATGGCGTTCATCAGCGTCTTCAACTTCGCGTCTTTTTCGTCCATCGTTGCGCTCCCATACTTGCATGCGGCGTGGCCTGGCGACACCGCCCTCAGCAGGTCCGAATGACTACCGCTCTCGTCTCCGCAAGCTGAATGATCGTCTTCCGCCGTTTTTACGCTCATATACAACCCCGTTACTGGGGGCCCCCGCCACACATATTACATCCTTTCTGATACTACATGAGATTACAGCCATTGTTCCTTTGCTCGGACTGGTCGCTTCGTTCCATTACGGCGATTGGCTGCCGGATTTCACCTCAAAAAGCGGCTTTGACGAAGGAGTTCAGCGATTCGGTCGCTGGTTGCGAAAGAAAGGTTGGGTGGAGGATGCCGACGTGGATATTGTGAAGGCCGATGGGTCTGTTTCCGGCGAGGACTCTACTACTGAATCGCCCGGTCAATCTCAATTGAGACCGAAAGACAGAAAAGGCGTTCGTCTTGTGCTTGAATTCGCGACTGCCTATGCAATCACGAAAGCTCTACTGCCCGTACGGATAGTCGCTAGTGTATGGGCAACGCCATGGTTTGCGAGATCTGTCCTCGCTCCGGTAGGCAGGGGCGTCGGGGCTCTTTTTGGGAAAAAGTAGCTTGTGATGGAACCTTCTATGCAAATTTCCGCAGCGGAGAATTATCTGCCCTACTCCCAGATTCCAGCGAAGGATACGAGAAGCAAATGTGGCCATTGGCACCGTAGTTGTTCTGTATATTTTATTTCTCGTGGGACTTTTCTGATGTATGTCATACACTGCCTCCTACACCCTCAGCTGTAACGGATTGCAGACATCCAAATAAAAGGTCGAACGGAGAAATTTAAGCCTTCTCGTAGATCCAGTCGAAGGCGGCGCTCTTCCAGGAGATGAGCTCCTCAGGCTTGAACCAGAGGGCAATCTCCTTCTTGGCGTTCTCGACGCTGTCGGAACCGTGGCAGACGTTGCGGCCGACGTCCTAATGCAATGTCAGAGAGAAACCATGATATTGGGGTCGAATAGAGCTTACGATAGCGTAGTCACCACGGATGGTGCCGGGAGCGGAGGCAAGAGGGTTGGTGGCACCGAGGATGGCTATTGTTGCACCATTAGCATATGCCCGTCTCATGTCTGAAGCACATCGATTGACGGAAACTTACTACGGCCGGTCTTGACAGCATCACGGCCCTCCCAGACCATGGCGCAGATGGGGCCGCTGAGCATGTCTATATGTATTGGTTAGTCACCATCATGAAGAAAGAAGCCATCAGTCTTCGATGTGGAAGGAAAACTTACAGGAAACAAGACCCTTGAAGAAGGGCTTGTCGGAGAGGTCGGCGTAGTGCTGCTCAAGCTGGGACTGGGGAGGAGAGACCAGCTTCATGGCAACGAGCTTGAAGCTATGCATAATTAGCGCGAGTAATAAGCCATTGAGTCCCAGAAATACATACCCACGGTTCTCGAAGCGAGAGATGATGGGGCCGACGAGTCCGCGCTAAGGGATGATCAAGTCAGTCTCATGCTCATTCGAAGTGTGTAAGCCATTGAACATCAGCAGAACGGCTATAGCCTCATACCTGGACACCATCGGGCTTGATGGCAATGAAGCTGCAAGAATTGATTAGCTTTACTCGCAATGATGAGAGGACAACCCAAAGCAGCGTCGGAGAAGAATAAGGGGGAAATTCGGGATTGAGCTTGGAAGTGGGATGGAAATGTCAACTTACGTCTGCTCGTTGGACATTTTGAGAGATTGATAAGAGACTATGGAGATACTGAAGAACGATTGAGGTTGGTTGACAGCTCGGAGAAAAAGAAGAAGAGGTAGACTTTCGGTGAGCTGGCGAAATTATTATAAGGAGGGGACTGACAAGACCGGGTGGGGCAGGAGGGGCAGCTTGGATGCCTGGATGCCTGGATGCCTCAGGTTTGAGTACTAATTATATAATATGATACCTTAGGTTACCTATCTAGGGGCTAGTTCCCATTCGTACTAGCGCCACACTAACCCGAGTTGGACGTTAGCTTACCCCGAATTCCCCCCGATCTGCCAATCTGGCCAGCCTGGAATCATCACCTGTGTTATCTGTTCATGATTGTTCGTGTTGGCCTCCAGCTCTGGTAGATGCAGGTCAGCACAGAAAGTTTTGTAATTACGGTACTTTCAGAGGTTGAGTGGCTCTGATTGCATTGATTCACTCAAACATGGCCCCGAGCAGCTCGTCTCTCTCCAGATGGACGCTATTGCTCGCGTTGGTTGTTGTCCTCGGGTGCCTTGTTGTACCCGGAGGTGAGCTTTATGCACTCAGAGTATTCCAATGGCATCGCCTTCTGACCAAATCCTCCAGTTACGGTGAAGTATGAGAACTTCAAGAAATGCTCTCAATCTGGGTTTTGTAAGAGGAACCGAGCATTCGCCGATGACGTCTCGGCCCAAGGCGCGTCTTGGAACTCACCATATGAACTCGATCCCTCTTCAATTCACTTCAAAGATGGCCAATTGCAAGGGACAATTCTCAAGTCGATATCTGCCAATGAGAAAGTCAAGCTGCCACTTGTGATCTCTTTCCTAGAGTCTGGAGCTACGCGTGTCGTGGTCGACGAAGAGAAACGGATGAAGGGCGAAATTGACCTCCGGCACAACAGCCAAGTGCGCAAGGAACGATACAACGAAGCAGAGCAATGGGCGCTGGTGGGTGGCTTGGAACCGAGCCTGACTGCCGCTGTGGACTCAGAATCCGAGACTGGATTCACGAAGGTACTGTACGGGCCGGATAATAAGTTTCAGGCGATCATTCGCCATGCGCCGTTCAGCGTCGATTTTCAACGCGATGGCCAGAGCCATGTCCAAGTGAATCAGAAGGGCTACCTCAACGTGGAACACTGGCGGCCAAAAGTGGACGTGGCAGAGGGTGACAGTGTCCAGCAAGAATCGGAATTTGAGCAGGATGAAAGCACCTGGTGGGAGGAAACTTTTGGTGGAAACACCGACTCCAAGCCAAGAGGTCCGGAGAGTATCGGCCTGGACATCACATTCCCTGGCTACAGCCATGTTTTTGGAATTCCAGAGCATGCAGACTCCATGTCTCTGAAGGAAACTAGGTAGGTGGTACATGTCCCCGCCACTCTAAAGACGTAAAGCTGATCAAATTGAAGGGGCGGTAATGGAAATCATGAGGAACCCTATCGCATGTACAATGCGGACGTCTTTGAGTATGAGCTCAACAGCCCCATGACCCTCTATGGCGCCATCCCGTTCATGCAGGCCCACAGGAAGAACTCTACTGTGGGTGTCTTCTGGCTCAACGCTGCGGAGACCTGGGTCGACATTGTCAAGTCAAAGTCCTCGCCAAACCCTCTTTCTCTTGGAGTAGGTTCAAAGACAGACACTCAAACTCACTGGTTCTCCGAATCGGGACGTATTGATTTGTTCGTCTTCTTGGGCCCCACTCCGCAAGAGATCAGCAAAACTTACGGTGAACTTACCGGCTACACTCAATTACCTCAACAGTTCGCCATCGCTTACCACCAGTGTCGTTGGAACTATGTCACGGACGAGGATGTCAAGGAAGTTGATCGCAAGTTTGACAAGTACCAAATCCCTTACGACGTGATTTGGCTCGACATTGAGTACACGGATGACAGGAAGTACTTTACCTGGGACCCTCTGAGTTTCCCTGACCCGAAGGGTATGGAAGAGCAGCTTGATGACTCTGAGCGCAAACTAGTGGTGATCATTGACCCGCACATTAAAAACAAGGAGGGATTCTCCATCTCTGAAGAGCTTAAGAGCAAGGATCTAGCTACCAAGAATAAGAACGGGGAGATCTATGATGGCTGGTGTTGGCCTGGCTCATCTCACTGGGTGGACTGCTTCAACCCCGAAGCAATCAAATGGTGGATTGGCTTGTTCAAATATGACAAATTCAAAGGGACCCAGCCGAACGTCTTTATTTGGAATGACATGAATGAGCCCTCCGTCTTCAACGGGCCGGAAACCACTATGCCCAAGGACAATATACACTATGGCAACTGGGAACACCGCGACGTACACAATGTCAACGGACTGACCTTTGTCAACGCTACATACAATGCCTTGTTGGAGCGAAAGAAAGGCGTGGTCCGTAGGCCCTTCGTTTTGACGCGATCATTCTACGCTGGTGCTCAAAGGGTATCTGCCATGTGGACGGGAGACAATCAAGCCACCTGGGAACACCTGGCCGCATCCTTACCTATGGTACTGAACAACGGAATTGCCGGGTTCCCGTTCGCTGGGGCCGACGTTGGCGGATTTTTCCAGAACCCAAGCAAAGAACTTTTGACCCGGTGGTATCAGACCGGCATTTGGTATCCGTTCTTCCGTGCCCATGCGCACATCGACACTCGCAGACGAGAGCCCTACTTGGTCGCTGAGCCATTCAGGTCGACCATATCCCAGGCTATCCGTCTGAGATATCAACTGCTGCCGGCATGGTACACTGCATTCCATGAAGCTTCGGTGAATGGAATGCCCATTGTTCGGCCCCAGTATTATGTCCACCCGGCGGACGAACAAGGCTTTGCCATTGATGACCAACTCTACCTTGGATCTACTGGTCTACTGACCAAACCTGTTGTTGCGGAAGGTGTCACCACCGCAGACATCTACATTGCTGATGATGAGAAGTACTATGATTATTACGATTATACTGTCTACCAAGGAGCGGGCAAGAGACATACGGTGCCGGCCCCCATTGAGAAGGTCCCGTTGTTAATGCAGGGCGGCCATATCATCCCTCGCAAGGACCGCGCACGTCGCAGCAGCGGATTGATGAAGTGGGATCCATATACACTTGTGATCGTCCTCGACAAGCACGGTGAGGCTGAAGGCACACTCTATGTTGACGACGGGGAGACGTTCAACTATGAGCAGGGTGGATGCATACACCGCCGCTTCAAATTTGAAAAATCTACCCTCTCGTCGGAAGACATCGGAACCAAGGGTTCGAAGACAGCCGATTACCTGAAGAGCATGGCGAATGTTCGGGTTGAAAAGGTGGTCGTTGTCGATGCTCCCAAGGAATGGCAGGGAAGGGCGTCCGTGACTGTCATCGAAGACGGTGCAAAGATGGCTTCTACCGCTCCCTTGGAGTATCACGCCCAGCAGGCGGGCAAGGCCCCGTATGCTGTGGTGAAGAAACCCGATGTTGGTATTGGAAAGACATGGAAGATCGAGTTCTAGAATCTGGGTCAAACCGGAGTATATACACATGATTGGAATGACAAGCATACACTATGCAAAGTGAATGAGATTCTGTCTACCTGCGTTCATGGTGCTAGTGCTGAGCAGACAGGGGAATAATAATACTGTAACATCGAAGCTCAATTCTCATTCTCATCTTATAACTATAGCGTATGATGTGTTGCCTGAAGCTTCAGGCAACGAGGGGTTTGATACAGTGCCCTAATCCAGAATAGGTAAGCGCCCTGGGGCCGCTGAACTAAGCAGATCCACTGGCAAGTCCAAAACAAGACTGCTTTCGGTCCTGGCACATGTTTTTCCAAGGAGTTTATTCGTGATTGATCTCTGCAGCAGTGCTTGGCTTTGTCTCCATTTTATTATTTTGCGCATTGCGACACACCAACAAGCTTCTTGGATTCAACCTGCTCGGTATAATTAACGTCCTCGTTCCATGGAGAGCTCTTGAGTCCATCGATCCTGTCATATCTTCTCCTCGGCCAGCTTTGTTTTTGGCAACCCCTATAACATCGCTCAATCATCGTCCTCTCGAAAATCCGCGAGGTCCCGCTTACTGCAAGAGCACCCAGCAAGCGATTCGATCAACCACCACAGCCGTCTTCTGGACATCGGGTACTTTTTTTCACTGATTGGATGCACCATGTATCTCATATCGCTGGCTCTTGAATATGGGGCCCCCATGTTGTACGTTCCCATTCATCGTAACTCAGACACTTCGAGGAGCTCAACTCGGGTCTTGAAGTGGCATTGGAATGCTGACTGCGGACATTTGCGTGAAATAGTCTTATTACATCCCCCCTCACGTCCTATACGGATCAGATTCTCAGTATACATCGATCAAGGAATTCGGGGGGATTCTCCCTCGATATCCCTTTGATCATGCTCGTCGCATCCATCCTCAAGTAAGAAAGGCGCCTGTGTTAACCGCGGCTGCTCAGCTCCATGCAGAATGACGTTAACATTCCCGTCTTTAGGGTGTTTTACTGGTTTGGTCACTACTACTCGCTCTCGCTGCTCGTACAAGCCGTGATCATGATTGGGGTCCAGATCGTCTTGCTCAAAGTTGCACTGGATAACCGACCGTCGCCGGGAGTCAAGAATAGCGTGGAGCATGTTCCGTTTAGCAATTTGGATGAGAAGGGGTCTGTCAGACCATACGAATTCTGGCAGTGGAAGTCCGCTAAGCCGTACGTCTTGTTCCCGATCGCTTTTTAAAGGTGGTCTGCGGAGTCGATGCTAATGGATTTTGGGTCTACATAGGTACTGGATGTTCTTGGCGTATTTCGTCGGGGCGCTATCATTTGTCCAGATCCTTCTGCCGCCCATCGCTCGGTCAGAGTTGTACGTGAACCTATTGGGCTATGCTGGTCTGGCCGTAGAAGCCATCCTGCCTCTTCCTCAGATCATTGCCAATCACCGGACTCGCTCGTGCAAAGGATTCCGGGTTTCGGTGCTGGCCGCTTGGATTCTTGGTGATGTGATGAAAATGAGTTACTTCTTCTGCAGCAAAGAAGTGATTCCCTGGGCGTTTCGGCTGTGCGGTATGTTCCAGTGTGTCTGTGATCTCTACCTCGGGGCACAATTCTGGATGTATTCGCGGCATACACTCAGGGCTGCGGGCGGCCTGAGGCATAACACCGCCAGTTGGCCAGCAGAGAAAGACATACGGATGACCTAAGTTATGATGACAGCTTTTGATAATGCCCACGAGAGCATGATGCATTTGAATATACTTAATACAGACCTTGCGCACGAGGTCGACTCCATATAGATATGTAGAACGCTATAGACAAATCCATGATTATCCTAATATTAATAATTGAACTGTTTCTCCCTTGCAATTAATAACTACTTCACTAGGTTGATTCCGAAGCAGATGACATTCAGCGGACGACCGGCTTTACTCCATTGTTACGTGACTACTGCTGATAACTGCTAGCGCGGGCCATGCTACAAACGGCTCCCCGCGGTTACCCCGCTGCTTAAGAAACAAGCTTCACTCGTCAAAAGTGAGAGGTCAAATAAAAAGTAACATCACTATCGCTCGCCTATTCCTGGCCATAGACCATACCGACTACAATGATGGCCTCAATCCGAATTGGCTACGTGCCAGGTAAGCAATCCTTTCCCGTCATCGGCTTCAATTTCCCATTATCTGCCCTGCTCGTCATTTGACATAATGGGCGCAAAACGCGGTGCCGATGATTCCGTTACATAGAATATCCTCAACCGACAATAGACAGTCATCGCATAATTTATCGTGCTACCTATAATGAAAATCTTCTCTGACAACATGTAGAGCACTACCTCGCTCCTCTCCACCTGGCTCTTCGCTCGCCAGCTGCCTCCTCTCTTCCATTCAAGATCACGTTGATTCCGTTCCCTTCAGGAACGGGGCACATGATCACATCTCTTCGGGAGAAGGAAATTGATGTCGCAATTGGGCTGACCGAGGGTTGGATTGCTGGATTGGCTGGTAAGCAGCAGGCTCAGAAGGATGCTGCCTCGGGGGGTTACAAGGTGGTTGGCCATTGGGTCGATACACCGCTGCGGTGGGCGATTATTACTGGACGGGAAAGAGAGGAGCTTCACACTGTGGCAGATCTGAAGGGTAAGAGAGTTGGTGTTAGCCGCCTCGGAAGGTCAGTTGGGATTCCTTGGACGTGATTCCTCGGGATAGATGACTCACTTGACTCACAGTGGCTCCCATATTATGTCCTTTGTGCTGGCGCAGAAGCAAGGCTGGAAGCCCGACTCATTGACACCGGCTGTCCTTGGTCCCTTCCAGGCTTTGCGGAATGGGGTCACAGGGTACGATGCCTCGCATCCCGATCAGCCCGCGCCCTCGGCTGAGTTCTTCATGTGGGAACACTTTACCACGAAACCGTACTTCCACGCGGACTCGGCCAAGCCTCACCCGCCACTGAAGAAAATCGGTGAGATCTTCACCCCATGGCCATCCTGGCTTATTGTCGCATCGACCTCAGTCTTCCCTGACCCCGAACATGACGAGAAACTCCAGCAATTGTTTCAGGTGCTGGACCAAGGTATCAAGGACTTCCAAGCCGACCACGATAATGTCGTGAGGCTTCTGGGCACAGGAGAATTGGGATGCACATACGTCGAAGGAGATGCGAAGGAGTGGCTAAAGGATGTCAGATTTACCAGCAGCACAAGGGGGGTGGACCGGAAGGTTGTGGACGGGGTTGTGGACGTTCTCAAGGTCGCTGGAGTCATTGACCCCGGGATGTCCAACGATGAAGCCGCCGAGAGGGTGATTGGCATTCCCCGGTGATCTCCCAGGGCCATGTGGGTTACAAACATGATATGTCGGTTAAGCCTCAGTAGTGCAAAATTATATCGGGGCACAAACCGCATCTTTCTTCGAAACTACACACGTCGCTTCTCATCTCGTTTCATTTCGTGGTTCGACACCACTACAGCTATTGCATTCATGCTTTCGATCTTTGGCACCTTGAATTTCCTTGACCTAACCTCACTGTCATCACACCAGAGATACTCGCTGCATGTAACGCCTGGTTGAGCATTAGTATAGCTCGTGGAATGTGAAACAGTGAAAATGACGAAAGTGGCTTGATTATCAGTACTAATATCCTGCGAGAAATTATCGCAGGGAACAAGGTAGCGGTTCAATGCGCCTCCTCCCTGCCGCCATAGATCTGATTCTGTGGTTATCCTCGAGCCCAGCTAGCACAGCACATGGGCAGATTTTCAAGAAATATCCTCTAGCGAGATTGCATATCTGCAGGCAAAGTATAGCAGCGCATCAGTCTTCACGCTGACTCTCCAGTAATTGATAATCGACTTTCTGTGGCATGTTTATCCTGTGACCCTGGCGGAGATCTGATGCAGCACCACGTTCTTTGACTTCAATAACGAATTACGCACTGTTTAGTCCGCATCATCAAATTTCTATCTGAGCTTGTCCACAGCTACGAGCGTCGTCAGCGTACGTCGTCAGTTGTCACTACTATTGCAGGCTTAGATCCCGAAACAGAAAGTCTAGCATTCTTAGGCAGCATGAGTCCCCCCCCGACAACCCTCTGGAATGCCATGCTCCACGTCTGCATCAATGTCGAAAGCGCTAGATACCTGAAAATCAGGTTTATTGATCGAATTTGTAATTTTGTTTTGGTGAGCTGACAGTATGACACTTTCAAAGATCGAAGGCACCATGAAGGAATGTCTGGCCTGTCGAAGGGGAAACGACCTCGGGCAACTGACTCTCACAATGGCAATAATGAGCTATAAGTATCTCGTGTCACTCTCGATTTGAACAATCGCTTGATTGAGGACTGATACTTATTCTATCAGCTCATTCAGAGTGTACTTGGACCTTGGGGCCTTACCTTCGGCCCCGTCCTATCTTTTGAATATTGCCTACGCTCTTTCGACTTCGTAGGCAAGTCATTTCACTCTTTGAATGGGAATACTTCAATCTGTCTGTCCTTTCCGCCATGTCTTTTCTAACGCAACTTCTTTCCTTGACGGCAGCGGCAGCTTTTCTGGAAGGAGTGTATGCCAAACTCGATCTCTCGTCTTCCTCCAACGTCGCAGTATACTGGGGTATGCCTCAGCCTTCCGTGTAATGTTGGGAATGTTTGACTGATCTGGTAAACGCGTTATTGGTCACAGGTCAGAATTCTTTTCGGGGAACTGGAGATTTGGCGCAGCAGCGTCTTTCGCACTACTGTGATGGTGAGCCAATCATGTCTGAATACTTCCGGGCTGATATGCTGATGGAAACCTCACTAGACCCTAAGATTGATGTATGGGATGATATCAAGCTCAGATGGTGCTTTGGCTCACGAGGCTCAGGTTTTTGAACTCGCGTTTCTCATGAGAATCAACGGCCAGGGTGGTGTTCCTGAAATCGACTTTTCCAATGCGAACGACAATTGTACAATCTTCACAGATACCAACCTTCGCAAATGCCCTCAGATTGGGTGAGCTCTGCGCTGTTGTGCTTTACTTACAATCTGAAACTCTAACAGCCCGCTCAGGGAGGATATTACGACGTGTCAGAAGAAAGGAAAGACCATTCTGCTTTCTATTGGCGGGGCCACATACAGTGAAGGAGGATTCAGTTCAGAATCCGCTGCGAAGGCCGGTGCCGAGTTGGTCTGGCAGACCTTTGGACCTCCCTCCCTCAACGCGACGGCCCGTCGGCCGTTCGGGAATGCGACGGTAGACGGGTTTGACTTTGATTTCGAGGCCACCGTCAGTAATGTTGCTCCGTTCGCGAACAGGCTTCGAGAATTGATGGATGCCGATCATAGCAAACAATATTTCTTGACGGCTGCACCTCAATGCCCATACCCCGACGCCGGCGATAAGGATATACTCAATGGCCCGGTGTCCATTGATGCTGTGTTCGTCCAGTTCTACAACAACTGGTGCGGATTGAATTCGTTTGAGGCCGGAGCAAGCAATCAAAATAGCTTCAATTTTGACGTCTGGGACAACTGGGCCAAGACAGTCTCTCAGAACAAGAAGGCCAAGGTATTCCTGGGTGTGCCCGCGGACACTGGGGCAGCAGGCTCAGGCTACGTGCCCGTGGAGACTCTGAAGCCGATCATCGAATACAGCAAGACCTTTAGCAGTTTTGGCGGCGTGATGATGTGGGACGTCACCCAGGCCTACGGCAACAAGGGCTTCCTCGACGGTGTCGCCCAAGCGCTGAGCAAGACTGCGTCCCGCGTTCGCCGTTCGTATAGCTACCGACCTTACGGCTGGTTCAGAAGGGCTGCAGTTCTTGCTTAGTCTCGATGTCTGACATTTCTTATCTGCACATGTTTAGTCGAAGATCGTCATATGGAGGGGTCTGATTGTTTATATGGGTACTTTTGCCATGTTCATCTTGAAGTGATTGATTTACTACTGAATGGGGTGCGTATATATTAATAAATATAGCTAATAGGGGCATCACCTTGACTGTGCAGTTGACTGGATTGCGACTTGTGACTAGCTCATCGTTCTAGAAGATATATTGTGCTTGTTGTCTCTCTACAGACTATCTACGATCTACTGTACTCGCAAAATTAAATGAAAAGACATAGATAAACGAGTACCTTTGTAATAACAGCTTAGATTAACTTGGAAACGAGCCTGACCGACTAGTGGAAGATGTGCATGAACTACTGAACTGTTTTCCTGCAGAAAATGTACGACTGCCATTTCCAGATTCGGTCCGAAGTGCCGCCGCTTTTTGCTCACTGAGCCAGCTGAATCGTGACCGGAGAGAGAAAGTGCGTGCCCTGATCGCTCCCTGATCATTGCCTGAACATGTACGGAGTGGGATTGATTATTCATCCTGAGGACCACTTGACAGCCAAATAAAAGTCGTTAAGCCAAGCCTAACCATATCCATGCTCATTCCCCTTTTTTTGGGGGACACAAAAGGAAACGGAAACTATAATTTCTGGTATCAAAAAACATAAACAACTAATTTTTCCCCGCATGATGCTCCTCCACCCTCCCACTATTATGCCATGTCGCCAACATCACCCCACACTTCCCACAGTAATGGTTGACATCCTTCAGCGACGACATCAGATAGGGTATCCACCCGAGACAGGCGCAGCAGAGCACAGCCGCCCACCCACTGTTCCACATTAGCTTCTCTCCTGCCTACATGCACAGCGTACGGATAGAAAAGGTCCTTACTGCGTGGTTTTCCCCGTCTGCGCCTCCACCCTCGTCATCTCCCGCTGCCCGCATACAGGACAGTCGACGGGCGTCGGCCCGCGCTTCAGCGAGTGCAGCGGTGTTGCGGTGTTGTACCCGCTTGGGTGGCCCATTCCGGGGCCTGTGTGGTAGTATTCCTGCCCTGGGGGCTGCGAGAGCGGTTGCTGCTGGGGAGGGTATTGGGGGAGGGAAGTTGGAGGCTGCATGTATGTGTTTTGAGGGGCTATAGGGGCTGGCTGGTGGACTTCCAGGGTGGAGTATTGTTCGTGCGCCGGGACGGGCGCTGAAATCATCAATTATGTTAGTATTTCTTGGTTGATTAGAGATCAGACGTACTTATGATGATTTTTTCGGCTTCCATGGTGGATTTGGCTGAGATTGGTATGAATTTTTTTAGTTAATGTTTGCTTAAAGCTTCAGGATATGAACAGCCTTTATATACGGAGTAGACAAGGGAGGTTCTATATATAACCAAGCCTATCCACCGTGCCGTGCCTGTCACCACATTGGCTGAATTAGCCTCTCGACCATAGCCTCAAGCTTTAGGATGTATGCGGTTTAGAGACCACACACATGTCTCAGGAATTCTCAGATGCGCGCGAGCCTGAGCTGCTCCCGGCTTACTCAGGCGGCATGTTAAGGTGATCAGTGAGTAATCCGGGAGCTGCCGGAGCGGGTTGGTGCGTGCTCAGTGAGCTCAGTGAGTGCGCAGTGAGTGCTTGATGGAGTGCCCGGAGCGCTCAGGCGCTCTCAAAAGCGGCGACACCCGTATCGGGCAATCGAACGGGAATTGCAGAAGAACTGTTCAGTTATACGGAGTATACTATTGATTTTCAGCTCTGCCGATCTTCCTGCAGATCTTGCCCCCCTCGAATTTACAGATCTGCGGTACCAGCCCCAGTTAAATGCATCCTCTGCTTCATTGAAGCTGATAATCCCTCAATAGTCAGTACTACCCTGCTGTGGAGTTACTATGTATGCGAACTGCAGAGATGTCACAGGCATGCATGCTCCTCTCCTCGGTTCAATGAGAAGCAGGGATTCCCTCTGAGGTGGTATCCGTCTATCATCCATGCCATGAATATTGCCAGAGGATTACTGTCAATCTTTCTTTCATGAGTCTTGTTGTGTACACTGTCTGGCATTCGTTGCACCTCTACTTAAAAGGCCAGCAGACCTATGGACAGCCTCATCACGTCGACCAAAGTGGACATAGGAAGAAAAGCAATATGACAGACCCGCCCGTGCGGACTATGCTATGTCATGGGCTTCCAAGTTCTCATCCTGGCCGTGCAGATGTCGATCCACTCCCCAGCCAGCCACTGCAGCACTGCAGCTGAGGTTCTTTCCTTGGCTGAATCCTAGAAAAAGGAAAGTAAGGATGGATACAACGATGTCGATTGCGATCCCGATCACCCACTTATCTTGCATCGTGCCTTCAGCTTGCCTATTTAAACAGTGCTTGAGCCCAGATGGACACAGTCTTCCCAGGTCGCTGTTCTCACACCCATCCTCCCATCGCTTCTCTACCGCGTCGTCAGGATGGCTCCCAAGTCTCTTCTGTACACCCTCTTCTCCTCCCTCACCGTCGCTCTGGCGGCTTCAGTCCCCCAGACTGACTATGAGGTGATGATCATCGGTGGAGGCCCGTCTGGCCTGAGCGCCGCCAGTGGTTTGTCACGGGTGCGCCGCAAGAACGTCCTGTTTGACTCGGGCGAGTATCGCAACGCTGCCACAAGGAACATGCACGATGTCATTGGCAACGACGGTAACCACCCCGTCTTCGTCGATCTTCAATATACAAGATTGTGCAGACTAACCTTCAGTATTTGGCAGGAGCCGTCCCCAGCGACTTCCGAGCACTTGCCCGCAGTCAAATCTCAAAGTATAACCAGACCACCTGGGTGAACGAAAAGGTCGACTCGGTGCTCGTCGTCACCGACGAGGAGCGAAATACCACCTACTTCAGCGCCTCGGTGGCCGGCAAAGACTACACAGCCCGCAAGCTCATCCTCGGCACCGGCATGAAGGACATCCTGCCGGAGACGCCCGGGCTGGAGGAAGCCTGGGGCAAAGGCGTGTACTGGTGCCCCTGGTGCGATGGCTGGGAGCACCGCGACCAGCCGTTCGGGATCCTGGGCTCTCTCATCGATGTCGTGGGCAGCGTGCTGGAAGTGTACACGCTCAACACGGACATCATCGCGTTCGTGAACGGCACCCAGACGCCCGAGGCCGAGGCCGCGCTGGCCAAGAAGTACCCCAACTGGAAGAAGCAGCTCGAGGCGTATAACGTCGCGTTGAACAACGAGACCATCGAGTCCTTCGAGCGTCTGCAGGACGGCGAGGACGTTCACGATGACCAGGGTCGCCAGTTCGACATCTTCAGGGTTAACCTCGCCGACGGTTCCTCCGTCGTCCGCAATGCCTTCATTACCAATTTCCCCTCGGAACAGCGCTCATCCATTCCTAAGGATCTGGGTCTGAAGATGCAGGATAACAAGATTGACACCAATATCAACGGTATGCGGACGAGCAAGGCCGGTGTTTTCGCAGTCGGCGACGCCAATAGCGATGGGAGCACCAACGTGCCGCATGCTATGTTCAGCGGCAAGAGAGCAGCTGTCTTTGTTCATGGTATGTATTTTTTTTCCCCCCCTTACAGATGTTGAACTTGGGCAGATCGCTGATCATCTCTATCAATAGTCGAAATGGCCCGCGAGGAATCCCAGGCTGCCGTGTCCAAGCGGACTCTGCCCTCCAGACGGGCCATGGAGAAGGAAACAGAGAGACGCATGGGAAGCGATCTGGAGAAGCTATGGGAGCGCATCCGTCGTGCCTAACCAGGGTGTTGGCGTTCAGCGTCACGAATCTACATATCATTAGTTCCATAGGGTTAGAGACGACGGTAATCCGAATATTATTCAATCTCCAGATATTAAAGTGTGCAACATAGGTATATGGAATCAATCCTCTTCCAAAAATTCAAGAACTACTGATTATTGCACAATCACACACTCTTAACACACTCTTCCTCGCCCTCAAATCATCCTATTAGCATTACTTTTCCCCACACTCAAACCAGGACGCATTCTCGCTTGTGACACGACCGTAGGCGAGATATGCTGTTGCAGTCAGGCTGAGCCGTCCACGCTAGCAGATATGAAGAAAAATCATCTTGATACCTAGCCAGCCTCGAGAGCAACGGTTTCTACTCGGCCTCCTCCTCTTCCTTGCTCGATGTAAGGAAGAAGCGACCCTTGGGTTGACCGGGCTGATCGTACTCGACGGTCAACCGAGCCAGGTGACCGAGCAGATTCTGGATCTTGATATCACCCTTGTCTCGCTTGGCTCGGCCGAGGTTATCAAGCCACGTGGACTTGTTGAGCGTATAGTACACGAGCGCAATGACGATCTCCACACCGAGCGAGTAGCCCCAGACACGGACGACCGTGACGATGTTCGTCCAGCCGTTGGTGGTTTCAACGAACTTGTCGGCCGGAATGGTCGGCATATTCTGGTTCGTGAACCAACCGAACAGGCAGAAGATGGTTGCCAGGACGTCCACGCCCAAAATGGCTGTGACCAGGTGGACAGAGGGCCAAGTCTCCACACCGCGAGTAACGAAAATGAGCCAGTTCTCCGTGAGTGCGACTTGCAGGAACAGGACTTCCTGGATAGAACCCCAGTTCTGGATGATACCGCCCGATGGAAGGAACATGCTACCGCGCGCGACCCAAGTACCCAACGCCAACAGCAGGCCCAGAAGCACGGAGATGACCCAGATCTTCGGAAGTTGCCACTCCACAGGACGCAGTTCAAAGGAGGCATTATCATAGGCCACCGCCACAGTAGCCAAATCGGCGAAAAGAGCAAGGAAGACAACCAACTCAACGCGAATGCTTTCGTTGAGGATGATCATGGACGTGACGAGGTAGATCTCCAGGTGCAAGCAAAGCGCGATACGATACTGGATGTAGGACTTCATGCGGTGGAAAATTTGCCTGGCCACCTTGATCGAGTCAATAATGGTAGACAATCCGGGCTCCAAGAACACGATGTCCGATGCAGATTGCGCTGCCTCGGTCGCGCCTTCTACCGCAATACCGCAATCAGCTTTCTTCAACGATGGCGCATCGTTCACTCCGTCACCGGTCATGGCCGTTAGGTGTCCTCGCTCCTGGAGCATTTGAACCACCTGATACTTATGCTCTGGGAACACTTCCGCGAAGCCGTCGGCTTTTTCAACCAGGTCACTTGCCATGACGCCACTCAGGCCACCATGGATGAGCTTATCGGAATTATACACTTTGGTTCCCAGCGCGAGCATTTTGCATGTCTCCTTGGCAATAGCCAATGCGTCACCTGTAAGCATCTTGACGCTGATTCCAAGATTCTGGGCTTCATTGATCGTATGCGCGGTATCTTCCCGCGGCGGATCGAACATGGGAAGCATACCAAGAAGCGTCCAATCCTCTCCCTCCTTCTGGACCGCAACACCCAAGGAGCGGAACCCTCTGTGGGCAAATTCCTGCGCCTTGTTCTTGTAGACATCGGCAACTTCTTTAGGACAGTTGGTAAGGGTAAGCACTGCCTTGGGGGCACCCTTGGTACAGGTATACCTGATTCCATCACAGGTGGCCACTGTCACGATTCGCTTCGAAACGGGGTCGAATGGGATATATTTTTCGGTCGTCCAACCCCGTCGAAGAATCTCTCTTGCTCTAGGATACTGCCTGAGCGTCAGAATGGTAACCTTATCGATGGGATCAAGCGATTCGATATTATGAGACGATGCCAAGGCTGCCACGGCAAACATCCAGTCAACGTCCACACCCTCTGCCACATACGGCTCTCGGATGCTCAACTTGTTGGCCGTCAATGTTCCCGTTTTATCAGAACAGAGGATATCGACACCCTGTGATCATTGTTTTTAGCACTCTATTCAATCCATCATCCGGAGAAAAGAATTCAACCTACAGCAAGTGATTCAATCGCAGTCAGTTTTTGCACAATAGCTTTCTTCTTTGCCAGATAAGCCGCTCCAACAGCCATGGTGGTGGTGGTCACAACGGGAAGACCGACAGGGACACCGATAATCAGCAAGGACAGTGTATAGTGGAGAAGCGTCTGCTGGGCAGGCGAAGCAATGGGAATATGGCGGAAGAAGCCGCCAATCCAAGCAGCCAGAATCCATGCCATGACAAGAACCAAAAGGGATGTACCAATCTGGTCCATCACAATTTCGAAATGCCCGGCACCCTTAGCTGCCAGAACCATGGAGGCGGTTTTGCCAACGAAAGAAGTCCTCGCACCGGTCTGTACAACTGCGTAGGCCTTGCCGCGCTTGCAACCGGTCGTGTA